CAGGGAAAAAGCTTCACGGCGACGCTATCTGGATCGGATTTCCCACATGGACTCGACCCCGCCGCCACTTTCAGCCTTGAAATTGAAATGTCTGTGGCCAACAGAAGCCCCACCACCATCACCACCTTCACCTTCATCCCAATCCTACCTTTCATTTTTTTCTCTCCCTAAATTTGCAATTCTCTAAAAACTTTATACTTCAACTTCAGAATGAAGGCTTTAAATATATAGTAACCAGTCCTAAGGTTGGTTGGCGTGCAACGGATCAACCATTTATTTTTATCGTGAAAAATCCTTCTCGATCTAAAMTTTTAATTTTTATTTAATATTATTACACTTTGATAAAAAAAWTYTGTGGTACAAACTAAATTGTTACAAATTTTAAACACTAATCTTATATACTAAAATTCTCCTGAACTTAATTGTTATAAACTTTAAATTATCTAGACTAAATTATATTGGACTAAATYGTTATTTATATGGACGGAATGTATTTTTTAATCTAACGCAGTTATTATTATTAAATGTTCTATAATTTTAAAAATGGATGTGACATGTATCTTGTTTATATATCTAATGAAAATAACTGTGTAGTATTTGAGAAGCGAATTTTAGTATAGCGGATAAACACATATTGTGATGTAAAAGGTGGATGATTACATCGCTACTCCACAAATTTGGGTCCTTTTTATTAAAAATTATAAATGAAAATTTGGTAGAAATGAYTAAACATAGTTATAAAAATTTGCAAACATAAGTTTAACTCAACAGATAAAACATCTTGCTACTTTTTTTGAGGTTGAGAAAAATTTAATCTCCCACCCATCTCACATTTGTTATACTAAAAAAWATAGTTTTAAAAGTTTACATTTATTAGTGTAATTAAGAAAACGTGGTCCTCTTAATTTATTATTACATAGATGTAGCTATGTACCATAATTAGGTGTGCCAAACTATTAAATTATCAATGAAGATTGATTCATTAGTGACAAGTCAACTAGTAAATTTTGGTTGGTTTAACAATAATGATCTTTTCTAACCTCCATGCAAAGCTGGTCTCCATCCGTAATGGGTGGAGGTTGAATCTTTCGATCTTATGAAAACTTTTAGTTCGTGAGGAATAGGTTATAAATGAATTTCAAATATTTATCAATGAACTCGAAGATCAATAAAGGCGAAGTTTCGACGAGAGCTTTCTCTTSACTCCATGCATTATTGCCTATAGGCTATAAACTTGCATGTCACGTTCGGAGAAACAGATGTTTGCAAATCAGGTGAGAAAACCACCTACTGTTGGGTCGATAGTGCCGTCACCAAAATGCACTCTTCCTATAATTTATTTCCCTTTACTGTTTTTTTTTTCCGCACTACAAACAACAATGATCTTTCTCCCTTAAAAAGGAAGAGAATAATTACCGAAAGAAAAAAAAATCTCGACTCAATCATCCATGGATTCATCGAAAATTTAATAAAACATCAGAAAATAGCTGATAACTGAGCTCAGCTGAAGATTTCGATTTCTAATTTATAAATTCCAATATAGTTTCTTTACACATTCAGAGTCAACACATGGGTTAGTCAGGAAAGACATGGAAGCATTTGATTCCTCATATTGACTGTCAATTCACACCTCATCAATACAAGTACAAGCACATCTAATGACAACTTTCCCCAATTTCAAATATACATCCTATGCCTACAAAAAGAAATGCAGAAAAGTGACAATTCAAGTGGAAAACCATACATACAGCCATGAGTCCCAACTTCCCCAAAACCAAGCTTGGATTTCACTCTTCCACGACCAATCCTTGTTTGGGYGCGCTCGCTGATCCTTCCCTGTACCGAGCGCCTTGCTTCTCAAAGTTTGGGTTTGTGACTGGTTCGGGTTTCTCAGTTTTGTTGCTGAATTCTTTTCCTCCTCTTGTTTCAACGCTGAGATAGTCAGTCAAAACCTTTTTGACACCGAATCCGCGTTGGGGAATCTTGGTGCCGGAAAAGAATGGTGACCTTTCTCCCTTGGCCGGGCTGGCTCCAGGTGAAAAGCTTGGAGTGGCAAAGGGTGTTTTATAAGGAGTGCCAGAGATGGGCACTGAGAAATGCAATGGGCTGTTCTTGTGAGAAATCACACCAAGTTTGGAAATTGACGAGAGTTGATCAGAATGCTTTGTGAGATCATCCACGTAAAGCAGATCATCGATACGTGCCACGACATTGAATGCTAGACTCTCCAGAACTCGGGAGTAGCTCTCTAAGATGGATTTTCCAACGTCCTAAACCAGAAAACAAGTGTTATGTTATCTACTTGAGTTATTGTTGGTTAATTGAGTGGAAATTCTAATGGCTGAAAGAGTTCTTGAGTAGGGGCGAACCTTATTATATTGGATTTTGCTCATGTCAAGGGTTGTCTGTGGAAGACCAGGAAATCGTTGCTTTAAGCAAAGTAATAGAGTCTCTGCTCTCTCTGCAAGCAACTCCCTTTTCTCCGAGTCGACCATCAGCTCCTTGACCATTTCCCACGATGATTTTGAACTGTGTTTGGTGGAGTTAGTGGCAGGTTTTGAGTTTATTCTTTTCTGCCATACGTAGATTGAAGCCTCGACCCGGTTAACGATCTCTGTAGCTTGATGTTCAGAGGACATTTCAAGGCAGTCAAGTAGACATTCAGGAGAAAACTGATCCGAGGAAATATATCGATATATAAGATCTCCCAAACAGGCTCTTCCATTCTGACACGYAGGATCAGAGATAAGAAAATCACATTGCTTTAGATATCAGAATCACAACAATTTATGTGTCTTGTACCTTTGGTAAGGCTTCGAGATATGGTTCGGGAATATCCAGATCAGCCAGAGTAGTATTGTTAATTGCCATTGCAGCTTTCAGTATTTGGTTTGTGCTCTCGCGCTTGTGTTGCAATTGCCTTCTTGAATCTTCATGGAGACCACCAGGAGGAACTCGAGGCACGGGAAGCCACCATTTTTCTTCTTGCCGTTGTAGTGCTCCACGGAAGGAGGAAGACCCATCAGTCTCATGGGCCAGTATCCCTTGATCAACATACCAGAACTCACAATCTTCAAAACTATCTAATATTTCCTGCAAATAGTTAATTTGACCAAATTCAGAACACATCTAAAAGCTGTTGTAACACAGAGAAAATGAATGTTGGTGATTCATACAAGAAGCATGTTGTCCAGTTTACGTAGGGCGGGAAGATTTACATAAAGATCAGAGCGCGGTCTGCACGTCATAACCTGAAAGATCATAGAAACCCCATCAGAAAATTGATGCTTTTACAAATGCATAACCATAAAAATTCTCCCATTTCACATTCTGGATGAAGGTCTCTTCCTACAAGAGAAGCAAAAATCCAACTCTAACAGAGACCAAAGAGAGGATTGATTACTGAAGCTTTTGGGCCGTGTCTATACAGATTTTGCTCACAATATCAAACAAATTAAAGTTTCAATYTGTTACTTACACGCACACATATATACACTATACAACACTAAAATGTCTATATATGTATATATTTACATAATATTCTTCACAGKATCCAAACTTCATCCTACGACAAAAGATGATGAAAGCCAAGATCAAGGAAACAGGTAATTCAAACCAGGTAGGCAGGCACAAGCTGCATATGTACAGAACAAACGCCATAGAGTGCAAGTTCAAAATTCATTCGGTACCTCGAGCTTGCTTCCATCAGGAAACGTTTGCCAAGTAGGCGTCAGCTCGACGATCTGATCACTAACACAAAGAAGCCAATCCATCTCCCTTCGCCACATTACTTTCTTCTCTCGTGGAAGGGGTTCTAATCTCCACAGCTGCCCAAACAGAGTGGCTATACCAAAACAATGGGAAAGGAATAAATATTAGACAATTAAAGCGGAAGCAAAGCCAATCCTAGATAGAATTCAAATAATGAATGAAAAAGAGACAAAGCATCATACCACAAAGATTTGTAATGGCATTAGATATAGCCAATGCTGTACAAACCCCATTTCCACAGCCTGACATATCTTCTCCAAGCAGCAGTTTGGAAAACCTTTCCTTCATCATCTCAATCTCTATACCCCAGACATTGCAAACAAATTAATACAGTTTTTAGGGAGAATCCCCACAAAAGGAAAGAGGGTCTGAATTACCTGATGATGAGGATACTTTCTTCTCCAGCTTCCTATTGTCAACATGGTTTTTTCCTCCTTTATCAGCACCATTGGAATTGGGTACCTCAGGTTTTCGAGTGGGCCAACTCATTGAAGATGGGGAAGATGAGTCATCAGAGCCACTGTGGCTGTGCTCCTCAAGCCCTGTGGTTTCTGATGTAAGAAAATCAGAGCTCGAGCTGCTCTCACGCCCATGTTCCTCAATCAAATGGCCAAGCGTCTCATTCTCAGGCACAATGTGGCCAATGCCCTCGCTCTTATCAGCCACACTCTCCTCCATCATAATTTCCCCTCCTCAATCACAACCATAGCACAAATCAAAGCAAACCCACTTCGATTCCRCCCACAAGAAGCCTTCTCAAGCGAAACCCCTCTGCAAATTAAGCTCAAAACACAAATTCCAAAGGAGATTCCAACACCCAGAAAGCTAAAACGGAGAAAATGCGGGGTCGAAATGATTTGGAGCCACTCTCTGAAGGGTCGATTTCGAATCGAACTGGGGTGGCTTCTCTTTCTCCTCGTAACATAAACGCTTTATCCAAAAAGTTTCATCTAAAATCAACCATGCGTAATAGTGAAAAGGGTATGAATAAACGGTTAAATGAAAGAAAGAAAGAAAGAAAGAAAGAAATAAAGAAGTGGATGAATTTAAATGGAGGTGGTGGTCATGATTACTGACTCGATGAAACGCATGAAGGGAGAGAGACAAGGAGAGGCGCTCTCCGCCATTAATATTTATGAGAGCTCGCCACAGCATCCATGGTCCCCAAACTTTAAGCAGACACTAAGATGGCGGTGACGCTGTGTGTGTCTCTTAACACTGTGGCTTTGCTTTCCTTAAACGAGGGTTCTTGAACGATAGATGTAATGCAGTGATTAAAAAAACTTTTGGGGTTTGAAAATTATAATAAAATAAGTGCCATGGAAATCGTGAAAGAGGAGGGAAGGAGATACCATTTTATCACTGCAAAAAAACATGAGCTTTGGATCCTCTTTAAGGTATTTTTATTTTTATTATTATTTTTTTAATTATTGATTTTAAAAGGGAAAATTTTACTTACAGATCATCTGAAAATTTATGTTTGATGTGTAGTATTTCAAAATTATATATATATATATTTTTTCTTTCAAGATTGGAGTCTTTCTAATAAAATAATAATCTAGGCCTAACATATGAATATTAAACATGGTTAGTGTTACATTAAACTTGATAACATCAATTATTTCTAAATAAAAAAAAAAACTTGATAACATCAACAAGTTTAAAATTTTAAAATTTTAAAAATTAAAGACAGATAAAGTTTGAAAACCATAACCATATTACAAAAAAAAAAAATAAAGAAAAAAAAGCCTGAAAATCAAGAAAAGAATTAAGTTAAAATCTTAAATACAAAGCAACACAATCATTTGGTGAGTGTTCTAGATATCAAGCAAAACCCAAAAAGAGAAAAGAAATGGAAATAAAAAAAGGTTGTTGCTGTTGTTGTTGGAGTTGGAATATTGAAGCCTAGTTATTTTAAAAACAAASGAGGGACTATTTTCAAATTTTGTTCATTTTAATTCTTTCATTTTCATTTTCATCTCATTTATTTCGATTATAATTTTAGAGCCACATCTCACCCACTAAATTAATTGAAATGTAGTCGTTGTAAATAACAACTGAATTAGTCCATTTTTAAAAGTACATTATACATAGATAAAAACAGACGTTTTAAAAATAGAAAAACTAAGTGAACAAAAATTGAATGCTTTGAAAGTACCAGAACTAAAATGGACAAAGTCAAAACGAAAACCAAAATAAGTTTTCAAACTTTTTTTTTCCTTCTAACATTAGTTTGGTACACTTGTTATTTATTTATTTATTTATTTATTTTTGGTGGTAACTTTCCTTGGAAGGCTTGTTTGGCTAGAAAAAAAATGAAGTCCCCATAACCAGATTTGATTTCAATCTCTCATTTGGATCATTTTGCCGGTTGTTCCAACTGAAAGGCGTAACTTTCACAGCCTTTTCTTCTCCAACGGCTATCACTTGTTTTTGTGTTGTTTTGTTTGGTTGATTTTTTACTCCAAATTCAAAGCTCCACAAGAGGGAAAAACCAAACAATGCCTTATCTTCTTCCTCAAGCTACTTCCCCTCTTTATTTAATATGCTCTCTTCAAACTTCCTACTTGCTTTTGCTTTTATTAATTCTTTGCTTTTGATTTCTTCATTATGTTCTTCTCTCCATCCTTCATCAAATTCGAAATTCATATGTGCAGTAYAACGTTCTGTTGGGACAATTCAACTCACAAAGATTAGTCGATGTAAAAAATCCTTAAAAAATTTTGAATTAGGTCATTCATAATTTCTATTAAAAAGTTTGTGAGTTTATTGGTCTATTTAGAGTGATATTGCACATTATTGATTTTAAGAACAAAAATTTTATAGCAATTAATAATTATTAAATTCTGTTCAATAGCATGCTTTCAATACAAAGTAAATGATTAAGTTTGTCTAATTATTATCATATCTCATAGATTTAATTATTTAATTAGTAATTTATAACTACACCAACAAAATAAGATACTTTTGGTGTCATATTTTATTTKTTGTAACTTAATATTTAATTGTATGAGATTCAGCAATCATTAAAATGTATATATTTATAAAAATAAAAACAACTGCTATTAAGCAATTATAATCTTAAAATGCACCATTTCTATGTATAGACTATAGAGTGTTGATTTTTTTTTCTTTTTTTTTTCTGAGACAAATATATTTTGCTGTATACAGTGTTGATTTATTATTATTTTTTTTTTTTGAGACGACAGTGTTGATTTATTTTGCTGTATATTTAAGATAGTTTTTCAAATAATAATAAGTATTTTTTCATTCCCCAGTTTAAATAATAATCAGTTATCAGATAGTTTTCATTAAATATCATTTTTCATAGCCCAACACTTTGTATCAAAATAGCCATAAATGAGATCGGATAATAAAATAAAATCTCCTTTACTTAAAGGAATCAGAATGAAAAAGAATCAAAATGAAAATCAATCGAAATGTTCGCAACACTGACTAATCGAAATATAGAAGTTTACGTAGACGACATACTGGTSAAGAGTCGACAAACCAATCAACATGAGGTAGTATTGGTCGAACTGTCAAAGTTTTAAAGAAAATACAAAATCAAGCTAAATTAAAGCAAGTGTCCGTTTGGGCCACCTCAATAAAGTTTCTTAGATTCATGGTGCATCAACGAGGATCAAAGCGAATCCTATAATAAAAATTCGAGTCGTGTAGAGATGGATTTGCCTAAAAACTTAAAACAACTACAAAGGAAGAATAACTACACTTGACAGATTTGTAARTCGTGCGACTGATAAATGTCTCCCTTTTTTTAAAACCTTGAGAAAGAAGAGAAAATTTGAATGGATCGAAGAGTGTAAACTCGCCTTCAAACAACTAAAGAATAACCTCAGTTCAACGCCACTTCTCTCAAAGCTTGTCCTTGGCAACAAACACTATCTCTACCTTAATTAGCTTGCTATGTTTGAAACTACCGTGAGTTTAGAATTAGTGAACAAAGAGAACGACCATCAATCTCCTATTAAGTTCACAAGCAACGGACGTRGTAGATGCAGAGACCAGATACCCACAAGTTGAGAAATTGGCACTAGCACTTATCACCTCACCCCGAAGGCCGTTACATCTCTACTTCCAAGCACATATAGAATGTTCCCTGTGGTGCTTTTACTACATACACTGGTTCGGTATTGCCGTTTTTTATCTCGTTTCTAGTTAGGTTAGATTTCAACTTTTGATAATTGAGTACTCGTTTCTACAATAGTTTAGCAGTTATCTTTTTATTAATTAAAAAAAAACTCCTCAAGTGGTAGCTAAGTAAGAGGAAACTATTCGACAAATCGACAAGATTAATTAACGATAAAATTAATTAAGAAACTCGAAAGAGTATAAAATTGAAAGTAGGTAAACAAGTTAAATCAGACAGTGAAACTAGTGGTATGGATAACCAATGGCAAATGAGCCCAAATAGGTCAAAATCCAAAGGTACTGAAAAAGCAAGCGAGCAAGCCCAACCAGTTAAAATTGAAAGCAAACAGACATGCTTCCAATATGAAACCAAAGAGTATAAAATTATCTGGTTAGTGGATACTAAGAGACTTGATTAAAAGCAAATGATATCAAATCTAGCTAGGGATGCTCCATAAAAATGAACGGCTCATGAAYAATCRAGTCTTCGAAAACCAAACAATAAGTACTCCCAATATAGAAGTCTAGCATTTTATCTAAGCTTGTTATATTCTATTTTGAGAGTGTGGCCTACTATTATGGGAAGACGAAGCTAGACCCGATAGGCAAACAACATCGCAAGTCCAAGGCCCAACCAGATCCCGACCGATTGAGTATTGGAGGTCGGCAGGCTAGCACTCGTGCCTGATTTTTGTACTGCATTGATAAGCCCAATGATGGGACAACTCCTATTCTCTTGTACCATCCAGCCCGTGCCCGTGCYTGATTTTTGTGCTCCACCGATAAGCCGAATGATGACCCAACTCCTATTTTCTTTGTATCATCCARCCCGTGATTGTGCTRTCACCCAGGCTCAAWCTATTTGAAAAGAGAAGATATCCTGTCAACCCTARGGTTCCGACATTTACAAATAGAGAAAGAAACCTCAAAATCAAGGTACTCGACAAAAACCCTACCTATTGCTRAGCTTAAATTCACATAAAACCTCGATTTTTCTAACTTAAGCATCGAAGTGTGTAACTARCACCACACCGGTGTGTAACCTTTCTGTTTTGCAAGTTTGTCGAATATTTTTTATTCTTGAAGATTGGTACAAATTATAACTGTAGTTGTAAATACATTAATCACAATTTTTTAAAATTGTCATGTTCTCCTCTTTCTTGATGTCTTAATAGATGACAATTAGATAACTGTATCAATTATGTTAATGACAATTTTTAACCGTCATTGAAGACCGAATTTCTACTGATGCATTAGTCTTAATTTATGCTCCTATCCCACATTAATTATTTTAATTAATTGTTATGAATTTGGTTGGTAAACATATTTTTTTGCATATTAATCTCTAGAATAATCATTGAGTAAGACATTCTTTTAATACTTTGATAATGGGTAAGAATTTATTGTAGTTCTAATTAGTTGTTAAAAATTGTATTAATTAGGTTATTGATGGTTTATGTCAAAAAAAAAAGTTATTGATGGTACCACACTGTTTTTTTTTTTAATTTGACAAATGTAGAGATGAAGATCAAATCGTTGAAAAATGTGAGATTCTAATTAAGCATGTCTCTCGACGAGTAGTTAATATAGCTCAACAATAATTGACATATACCTCTAATCAAGAAGTTTTGAGTTCACTCGGATAATTGTATAGAATTATTTCCTATATAAACAACTCACCTCACCGTTACTCCAAAAAAAAACCAGAAAAGAAATTTTGGTGAGAGAGAAATGGCGGAAGAAATACAGGTGTTTGGCGCATGGGCTAGTCCGTTCAGTCGCAGAGTGGAGCTGGCTCTGAAACTCAAAGCGGTGGAATACCAATACATTGAGGAAGATTTAACCAAAAAGAGTGATTTGCTACTGAAATACAACCCACTTCAGAAGAAGGTACCTGTGCTCGTCCACCATGGAAAGCCCATCGCAGATTCTCTTGTCATTCTCGAATACATTGAAGAAAACTGGAAACCCAATTATCCCATCTTCCCCAAAGATCGCCATGAAAGAGCTCTTGCCAGGTTCTGGGTTAAGTATATCGATCACAAGGTAACACAATCTTAAATTTTTAAAACCATTTGCTTGTTATGTACATACAATCACTTTCGCTTTTGATTATTGAATTTGATACACAAATTAGAAAGATAATTCTCAAGTTAAATTATAAGGGTGTCTTTGGGGTCACGGTAGAATTAGCGATTCTAGAAAARGAGATTTAAGTATAATTTAGTTTTCAAAAATAACCATACAAGTGATATCTAAAAAATCAATTTAAAATGACATGTCAAAATCACCCTCGAATACACCTTAAATCTTGTGTTAAATTTTAAAAAGTTTCCAAATAATAGGWTACTCAGCCTTCAATTTTGTGAATGATACCTTGTTGATAAATGTTAAAATAGGCTAAATAGGCTGATGGTATACATATTTTGGTATGWTATTGTCTATTTTGGGTATAAATCGTCTGTGATTTTACTCAAAAAAATCTTATCATACCAATGGAGTTTTCCCGTCTTTTTCTAAATAGTCGGGAAAAATAAAGCATATTTTCCTCGACCTTCTCGATTGTTATGAAAAATGTCGTGAAAAGTCAATTTTTCTTGATGGAGTCGGGAAAGATCACTCCGGACTATTTTTAAGGTTTTTTCGACATTTTGTAGTGTCRAGAAAACATTAATTTTTATACCTCTTTCAATAGACGTTGTACTAGTAGGAAAAACTAGGGGAAATTGRGGTTTTTGAYCCCACCAATAGTTCAAATTGGATAAATGAAAAACAAAAGTTACTAGACCACTGCAAATGGAAAAAGAAAAACAAAAGGTCAAAATTTTTGTCCAAATTTGAAGGAAGAATAATTCTTCCATAAAAATAGTCTAATTTTTTCTCTAAATTTTTACCAACTCGCGGAGTGACATAAAATTATAAGCTCATCATAAACAATTTCCACGACATTCAATTCACCTATCCAAAAGCAACTGAATATTTTAGATTTTCAGGTTGGTGTTGCGTCAGTGAGAGCTGCTCGGAGTGGAGGAGAAGAGAGAGAGAAGGCTGTAGAAACAGTGCAGGAGGCTTTGGGAGCACTGGAGAAGGAGCTCAAAAGCAAGAGGTTCTTCGGAGGACACAAAATTGGGTTGGTGGACATTGCTGGCATCTATGTAGCTTGCTGGCTTCCTGCCTTTGAACAAGGACTTGGGTTTCAGATTCTGAGCACCCAAAAGTTTCCAAAACTGATCAAATGGACTGAAGAGCTTACCAATCACAGTGTGGTGAAGCAGATTCTGCCTCCAAAACATCAGCTTGCTGCTTATCTCCAAACTCGTTTTGGAACCAATAATCTGGCTTCCAAGCTGTGAGTAATTAAGGTAAATATGGTAAATATGTATGCTTTCTCAATCAAACTTGTTTGGGTCTATTATGCTTGGATAAGGAATAAATTTAATTGGAACTGTCATATTTCAGTAATTAGAAATGTTTAAAAGTAAAAGCTGTTTCGCAAGACATTTCTGGCGAAGGGAAATTCGAATTTAATAAAGATGTATTTGTATTGATGTATAAGTTTTACCATCTCTAATATGTGATGTCCAAATCCCAAATGATTGAGTATATATGAATGGAAGAAATTCTTTATATATAACCCCACCTGAAAGACAATTTTCCACATAAAATAGTCAATGGCTTCCAAAGACGAGCACATTTTAAATTATTACACTAGTAATTTGATGTCGTATTGGCTTACGACACAGATCAGCTCCACAAAAGTTACAAATTATATATAAAATAATTAATCCTTCTGCTATAAAAAGAATGAACAAGCAAGACCCAGATCGGCAGAGACTGAGAGAGCTGTGRAATGGGTGAAAAAGTGGTAGTTTTTGGTGCATGGTTCAGCCCTTTCAGCAGCCGAGTGGAATTGGCTCTGAAACTGAAGGGCATTCAATATGATTACGTTGAAGAAGATATATACAAGAAGAAGAGCGATCTGATCCTCAAATTCAACCCTGTTTACAAGAAGGTCCCTGCCTTCGTCCATGGCGGAAAATCCATTGCAGAGTCCATTGTTATTCTTYAGTACATTGAAGAGACTTGGACCCAAAACCCCCTTCTGCCTCACCATCCTTATCATAAAGCTCTCGCGCTCTTCTGGGCCAAGTTCATAGATGACAAGGTATATATATATATATATATTCTATCACTCCGTTAATTTCGCATTTTAGGTTTACTTTTTTCACGTGGGGAGTTAAAATCACTTTAAATTGATTTTTACAGTATTGGTGATTTTGAAAAATTAATCATACTTAAATCTTTTTTTTTAAATCATTCATTCTATTGTCACTCTCAAACACACTCAAAAATAGTTATTGGCTGCATTGGTAAGAGGCCGGAGAAGCGAGGGGAAGGCGAGAGAAGAGGTGGAAGCAGAGGCACGCGAGGCCTTAAAAGCGCTTGATGATGAGCTGAAAGGGAAGAGGTTCTTTGGGGGAGAGAGGCTGGGATTTGTGGACATTGTTGCAAACTTCATAGCGTATTGGAGTCCAGCCATGGAAGAAGCTTTGGGTTTTGATGTGTTAACCAGTGAGCTGCAGAAGCTTCCAAATCTACGCCGATGGTGCCACGAGTTTGTGGAACACAGCCTTGTCAAACAGACTCTGCCTCCCAAACCTGACCTCCTTGCCTTCTTCTCATCTCAGTTTGGAACCAATGTTGCTTCCAAATGAAGATGGTTACATGGTTGTGAAACAGATCTATGGATATGAAATCTTGTATATGTTGTCCCTTCTGATTTAAAAAGATTTTAATAAACTTTTCAACTTACAGGAGTAAGTTTATTTGGTGTTTATAATTTTAAAAGTTATCGGTTATTTATTTATTATTAGACTTTTCCAATCAACTCTCAATGACTTTATTTTTTATTTCACCAAAATATCATGAATCATTTTCCTTCTTTGCCTAATGTGTCTTATTTTCATTCATTATTGCAACTCCAACAATATCGTGGGATGATTTSCACCAAGTTTATAGACATTTTGGTGGTGTAAGCAATAAACCAACGAAATCATGGCAAAGGCCTATTATAATCATAAACTTTCCGTTATTGATAGATTTATGCCTTAGGTGGACAATAGTATCATTTTATCGTGGAAATATGAAAAAAGAAATGTTACYTTAATCTCTAGACTTAGTTGTAGCTYTATCAATGAAAACAAAAACAAAAAATTGAAGGAAAAGAAAGTTATAAAGTCTTGGAAATTAATCATAAATATATCTATAGTGTGATCGATGATAGAAGATATATAAGTCAAGTCAGCAATATCAACTCATTAAAGTTTCTATTAAAAAGTTTTTATTCGAAATCAAGTGACTATCGATATGAAATTGAACCTTAAAAATATTTTATTTCTTGGTGAATTTCTCGTCCATATTTATTGYACTGCAAAATAATCGGGATGGATGGACTGTCTATTCATTTCCAAGCGAAAACTAGGTGTGATTTGGGGGTATATTTCAAACTCATGGGCCTAGTTCGATAAAAAATTGACATCTAATATATTTTCTCAAAAGAAAATCTTAAAAAGTCTAAAAGTAGTATTACTAACCAAGCCCATGATGTCAATTTCCTATTGGAACACCACATGTACTGCTAGAAATATTGGTCTTTAAAAAAATATTCACGACGGCCAATTTGACAATGCCCACGGCTTACATATCGGCTTACGACACCAAAACCTCCACCTCAA